AAATGTTATTATTTGTGCCCAATTACACCTTACAGAGTTGAACTTCTTGTCCTCTATAACCTTAGGTGAAACAAGATGATATAAAGTAACAGTCACAGAATTATAAAATCACGAGGGGTCTCAGGGGATTATCTAGTCCAACCCTCCTGCTAGAAGCAGGGTCAAGATGCTCAGCTGGGTTTTGAATATCTCCAAGCACAGACACTACTTAGTCATTCTGGGTAATCTGTTCCAGTGTTTGAATACTCCCATAATATAAAACCTTTTTTCTTGTGTTTAAGTGGAATTTCCTACATTTCAATCTGTGCCCATTGCATCTTGTCCTATCACTGGATAGCATTGAGAAGAGTCTGGCTTTGACTTCTTTAATCCCTCCTGGCCACACATTGACACAATTTACAGACATTGACATCAATCCCATTGAGGCTTCTTTTTTTTCTGAAGCAGAACTATCCCAGCTCTCTCAGCCTCTCTCAATAGTCAGATGCCCCAATTCCTTAAACGTGCTTGTGAGCATTCACTGGAACTGCTCAAGGATGTTTGTCTCTTTCTTGTACTGGGGAGCCTAGACCTGGACACAGCACTCCAGATGTTGTCTCACCAGAGCTGAATACAAGGGGAGGATCACCGCTCCCAACCTGCTGGAAACACTTTTCATAATGAAGCCCAGGATACTGTTTGCCTTCTTTGCCAGAAAAGCACATTGCCAGCTGACATTCAACTTGGTCCTTTTCTACCAGGTCTTTTTCTGATAAACATTTTTTTTTTAAGCCAAGAAAGTCAACACATGAAGAACATTAATACAAATCACCTGTGAGGGACCACAAAAGTGTGACACACTGTTGTTCCAGACATTTTAAACTGGCAGAAGCAGAGTTCAGGAAGACAAAATGGCGTGTCTGCTTTTGCTGCTGTGTCAGTGACTGCATACTCTTGCACAATTTGTAGTTTTCCTGCAGAAAGACATTTACAACTGGATTTTGATCTGAAGGGTTTAAGACTCAGATCAATCTGACATCTTCGGAAGGTGTTCTAGCTTGCTGAAAGGGCAGACTTATTTGACATGCATGGGTATCCTTACAGAACATTGTCCTCAAGAGAGGGTGCTCAGTAACCAGCTCCCAGGATCACACAAGCTGGATCCCATATCTTTTAGCTGCAGTTACAATCTGCTGGCTATCATGACTGCCAAGATATTAAAGAATGGCACTGAAGCTCAGGATAGGTGACCTCTGCCCTGGAAGCATCCAACAGACCAGCATACAAATCACAGCCTTTCACTTTCTGTCTGCTCGATTAAGTATTTAAACTGATCTTCAAAGTTCCATGGAGTCAGATCATTTAAATGTGTAACAAATATCTTTTTTTCAGGATTTCTTTTTTTGTTGATGGAGAAAATTATGCTGTAAAAATTATGCTGTTATAATTCTGTGATGATCAATACCCCAAAAGAATAATCATAAACAGGCTGATTTCCTGGCACAGCAGACCTTACCGCTGTGCAAGGCCCTGCATCGATGTATATCCTCAGAGCAAACACTTGTCTTTTCTGCGACAATGGAAATTGCTGTAAATCTCCGCAACAGTCCACAGGAAAACATCAAGTCCCTCCTGTGTTTTCCTGTACACAGATCTTCCTCTGGCTATGAGATTCTCTGCGACAGTTGAGCATCCCAGCCATTTTCCCTGCACACACAATGTTGGTGGGATGTTCGCTATATTAAACTTTATAGCAATGCGGTCCTAAACATTTTCTCAATTCATCACAAGATATTATGAGGGTCAATATGATCCATCTAGATAAAATAGTTAAGAAATGCCAGAAAAAAAGAAGAGACTGGAGAGAAAGAGTCAGACAATCTGATACATTTAAAGTGTGTGTAAAGGAGTCCTCTGGAGAAGGAATTCCTACAAACACTGGTTCATGCTCCCTTGCAAGAGTTTATGCTGGATCAGCAGTAGTCCAGTTGAGATGACATGTTAGTAAATCACAGAAGAAATTCAACACCATATTTGACAGTAAAAGAGGAACAGGTGCATCACACTGAGTTTCTGGTCTTTGGCAAATCTTCAGGAGTGTCTAATTTCCTTTCACAACAAGCAAAACAAAGTTAAGCGGTTTCCAGATTGGCCAATAGCTTAATTCTCCTGTAACAGGTTTCTTTTAACAGTTTTTACATCCACAATTACAGAATTAGGCATACTAATAGTTTTAGAATGGGTTCATGAACATAACCAACTGAGATAAAGTAACTGGCAAAGCACCAAAGCCATCCTAACTTGAAATTTCTTTTTAATTTCAGTCTTAGAATCATAGAATCATAGAATGTTTAGGGTTGGAAGGGACCACTAGTGGTCATCTAGTCCAACCCCCCTGCAGTGAGCAGGGACACTGCTAACTAGATCAGGTTGCTCAGAGCCCCATCCAACCTGGCCTTGAATGTTCCCAGGGATGGGGCCTCCACTACCTCTCTGGGCAACCTGTTCCAGTGTTTTACCACCCTCATTGTAAAAAATTTCTTCCTTACCTCTAGCCTGAACCTACCCTGTTCTAGTTTAAAACCATGTGTCTTGAACACAGAAGTGAAGCATAAACCTATGGAATGTGTTCTCATGAGACAGAGGGACACATCCAGTCAAGACACCACTGGGCATCAGAAGATTTTGGGCTCCAGATGACATAATTATCAAGGAAAGATGATTCTCTGCCATTACCAGATTCTTACTCAGCATGAACACTGATTTACAAAGGGCATGTAAAGAAAAACAGAGAGAAGACAAAACAAAAAGGACTGAGGATGATCATGAAGAGTCTGAATGTCGAGTTAGACAGAGAAACAAACATGTGGTCCTGTAAAAGTCCCTTGTGAAAGAGCAGGAAGGAATCTGAGTGTGGAGAAAAGCTCAAGGACCTGCTACTGGGTGACAATGGGGGTCACAGCTCTCAGAGAACAGGCATGAACAGAGGACAGCTCGTGGGAACTGTTTTCTAACAGCTAATTTGGGAAGTAATTTTGATTTTAGCTGCCACTTTTCCTAGGTTGGACCTAAGTGTTTTCAGTTTAGCCTTCGTTCAGAGCGGCGAGAGGCTGAGCCATTCATAAATGTACCCTTTCCACACAGCATGACAGATTGCTGAGGATGCCAGGTTGTAGCTAGATGCCACGGGAGGTCAAATAGGAGTCTTTGTACCTACCTTAAGCTCTGTCTATTGGTGGAAAGGTAATTGGCCTTTGCATTTCCCTGTTGATTTAGCTCCATAGGCAGAATCTCTCATGCTAGACATTCCCTCAGGACAGGCAGCCAGATCCACCAGTGCCGCACAGAAGGGAAGACAAAGTATTCTTTAGGCATACATTTATTAATAAGACATCATCTGAGAGTGAATAGCAATACTATGCTGAGAAAAACTATACGTTGTCCTTCCGAGTGCCTCCAAAGACCTCTGAATTTACTACATGTTCAGTACATGGCTACAGTTTCTTCAGATTTGGGATCCTTAAAGTCATTCTTAAAACATTTTTAAAACACTGTTGTCTCTTTTTCCATACTCTGTGTACTGAGTTGGAATGAATAGTTATACAATAGCCCGAGTAGTTTTGAAGCTGTTAGCTCTCCTGGGAAACCACCCCCCAAGGTTAATGCACTCTGATCTTCACAAGTTATCAGGTTCCCAAACCTCCTCTTTGGATGCACCTGGAAGGAGTTTGGGATTGGATTGTCTTTGAGCTTCCATTATTTAAAATTCAGATTTCCGAGTCTGTCATTAACATAGCTTCCTTGCACAGTCAAAGGAGAGAAAACTTGAAACATATCCAAGACCAGATGAACTGCTATGCTTTATAGCCCATTCTCTTAATAAATTGACAACAGCCAATTAGACAGTCATCACAGCACCAGAAAATCAGCTATTAGTGGAAATAATTCTTTATAGTTAATCCTTATTCATGGGCCTTTCAAACTGACTTACAAGAGAAATGAGGAAGAAAACTCACATTCCAGTACATTGGGTTCAAAGATTATATCTACAGTATATCATCACCCAAGTTTGACATCTTTTAACATCTTTTGACACCTCCCAGGGCTAATAGGAATTATCTAATAAAGTAATGGATCTAAGAATGATGGATGAATTGTTATTTTACTGTGCTCTACTTCCTTGACTATCTCATTTGACATCTGAAAATTAAAGTCCTCCACCCCTGGCCTCCCATCCTCTGAGCAGTATTTTACTTTTTTTCTAGGGAATTAACAAAAAAAACCTAATCATACAAAGTGAAAATACTCTAGTATTTCCATAGGAGGCAACCTCAAATCCCCACAGGAAATACTGTTCTAGCCAACTGCTATTTAGTATCAAACTTCCCACTTCTGACTCGGAGAAGGCAGAAGAGGCCAGCCAAAAGCTATTCAAATCAAGATCATTATTCTAAAGCCAGCACAGTCTGGCTGGTGGAATGAAAACAGCTCTTTAGTGTCACTGATGGATGGGGCCCTGCTGCCAGTAGATGGATCCAGAAACATTCATACTCCTCCACAGCATCAGCACTGCCAAACACGATCCTGCTGTTCTGCTTGAGAGGCACAGGCACATCCTCAACAGAGGTCTGGAGGAGAAATGCAGAAAAGGCAAACCACCAGATCGTGCTCACAATCCCACAAGATTCAGTTCTCAGCTCCAGTTTAACCCACAACTGTAAGTAACTAAGGTAGCAACATTGTCTCCTGACGTAGAAGTACACCTGATACGGCTTATCTACTCAAAAAGATATGTGGGCAGATCAAATCAACGGAAGTCCAGATCCTGACTATATAAACTGTATCTTGTAGTCAATATACCTCCTTTAACCACGTATAAAGACACACAGTGTAATTTATGTGTCCGCTTTCTTTGGTCAAAGCCATGGCCCATTGTAGATCACATTTATTATTATCATCCCATGTGTAGTCATATTCCTCCTAGCTATCCAAAGGAAGACTGCTGCTGGCACTTACGTAGATCATCGCTCTTTGAGGTTGTGCAGCACAACGGGTTCATGGAGGTGGGTCATCATGGCCATGCCCTCAATTTTATCATCCTTGGGAGGGTTCATAGAGAAGAGTTGATCTTCCTTCATGGTCAGAGTCTGTCAAAGAAAAGAGATCAGCTAAGAGCTGAGACTGGTGTCCTTCAGCCTGTTTTTTCCCTTACATCTCCACCTTCCACCTCCACTGTATTGACAGTGACCTTCCCTGATTCTTTGCTCTGTATTGTCCCTTTCACAAAGGACACCTTAAGATGCACAACAAAGATGGATGACTTGGCATCAAAAGGCTTTTTCTGGGCCTCAATTCTTTCTTTTTCTCACTTTCGGATATATACAGTTGCCTTCCCAAAGATGGCCATCTCAGTGTCCGAAGACATGGCTGCAGTTTATTTGGGCTACACCTGTAGAGAACTCTGAAGAACACAATGTTATTTCATGACAATACTGTCTTCAAGAGGATTAAATCTCTCAGATCAAAGGCTTGCTTTATGTTCAGTCTGGTAACAACAGCAATTTAAGTAATTCCTGCCCTGTCAGGCCATGGCATGCTATGCCCTCACCTGCATTAGCACAAATAATTTTTTGATAAGCATTATCTGGATCCACCTTTAGAAAATAAAAGATTTTTTCTCATCAACCTGTTCTAGGATCCAGTTCAGAAAAGTGTCTTACTAATGAGCAGGAACAGTAACTTCAGTTCTAATGGTGTGCCACAGAGTAAAGACAAACTTTTCAGAAGTACCTATCAAAATGAAAGAGAGAGCTGTTCCTCACTCACTTGTCTGGCTTTGAACATCTAGAAGTTGTACAGGCTCCAAAGGGCATCTCTTTTTGCATGCCTTCTGGCAGATACTCTTGTGTCTTTGTTGAAAGCCACTCTTCAAGCATTACAAATAGTTCATGGTGGCTAGCTTCTCCCTTGCACTTCTTCCCCTTCCCCAGGCAGACACTGAAAGATAAGGTATGTATATTTTATCTACTTGAAAATTGAGCCATTATTGCTGTTTTAAAAGCTATATTCAGTCATTTCCTGGTTTTGAAAACTTGCTAATGGGGAAAAAACTAGTTTCACTGATGTTTCTCTAAATGCAGTCCCCAGCTCCTATCCCTATCAAATTCAATAAAGAACACACTAATACTATTCTAACTTCAAAGTGGAGAAAACAAAAAATGCTTTCTTTGTCAAGAGTGTGGAAACTAAATGAGATGTGATTGGAAAAGCTAAGAAAGGAAAACTAAAAAAAACTCCCTGTGGATAAGGCCTCACCAGTCTTCCACAGATGAGGTGTAGGAGCCTCTCATTCCTAACATCTTCAAATTCCTATGAGTGCTCCACATTTTCTCAGTGTTCATTTCTGATCAAGGTGCCTTCCTTGGTCTCCTAGAAAAATGATTCTCCATTTTTTTGCCTCAGTTTGAAGAAGTCTTTTTTTTGGTTGGTTGGTTGGGGTTTTTTTGTTTGTTTGTTTGTTTTTTGTTTGGCAGCTTAATTTGGAGGTCCACAGTGTCTCTACAATTTCTGATGAAAAAAGGCACCTCCGGGCGTTAACGCCACCTTTTTCGATACATCTTCCTCAGGAAGACTTGAATCATTCTCTGTCAACATCTGCTGTTTTCCATTGACTACAAACAGAATTTAGGTGAGAGACGCTTAGAACAAGGACAAGTTTGTTCTTCTGAAAGTGATTTATTTAAAGTTTAATCACTGTTATATAGTCAGTAGAGAGAAATAGGCACCTGCGGAAGGCAACCGATACACCCTCAGACAGGGAATATGGAGCACAGATAATTTCTGCAGTTCTGTATAAGCTGTCTAGTGTCTGTGAGTTAGTACTTCAGGAAGTATCAGGCATCAAACCTGACATTTTCCTTCCAGGAAACATTTCATACTTCTTCCAAAGATCTGATCAAGCTTTTCTCTTGTCTTTTAAGACAGGCTGGGTTGTGGAGCACCTACTATATGATAGGCAAGTGAGTCTTATCTAAGTAGTGGCATCTAGTTTTGATTACACTTTTGTCCATTTTTTCCATCAAAGATGAGTCCTTGTACAGAAAGAAATGCAAAATTCACAGGATAAGAAAGATGTCTGCTTGCAGTCTAGCTGTTAGGGAATTAAGCCATAAAAAAACAAAAAAGCAGTTTCAGTCTTCAGTCACCATTCCCACAGTTTTTTTCTGTACTCAGTGAATGCTGAGCACAGATTTCATCTGTTTATTACCTTCCTGTTACTATTATGTCTGTTACTATTACCTGACATAGTAAATTCAGTATTGGAATCTCATTCTCAATGAGATGTTCTCAATACATTTCTCATAATTGGAATTTTTAGAAGGCAAGGCAATTTTAGATTCTCAGCTAAGTCTTTAAGTGCTAATTTTGGGTAAACAAGAGCAAAACATTAAATTAATTACAGCTAAACGAGAGCTCTCCACATACTCAACAATAAAAATTGAGTTTGGAAGGGAAGAGAGATTTTTGGGTTTGTATGTAGAGTACAGGATGGGTACAATAACACAAAGTCCTTAGCAATGTCATAAAAGTTCCCTCCTTGTGAAGGAATGTGAATGGGTTACATAGGTATCCTTCTGTATGGATGGAGAAATAGCCACCAGAATACAGCAGGTTGAACAGAGAAAAAGTGCGTGCTGTGAGTCTCCTCAAAACTGGTAATCTCTGCAGGTCCTGATAAATCCTCAAGAACTGCCAAATCCACAACACCAAGACCTGTTAAATCTGCTCAAGCTTACTGGCACACACCACCATCAGCAATGGGTTGTGTAACTGAGATGACATCCAAGAGGTTAGTAAAGACTACAGCATTACACATACCACCTGATGAAACCAGGAGCCCTCAGGGGTCCTTTTGACCATGCAGCTAGAAGCCACTTGCCAGTCAGGGTTGGCCTCCTGATTGTTGCTCCTTCTGGGGAGATGGAGGTGAGTGTGTGCATGAATGAGCTGTGGGAAGATACATGAATGTACAATGTCCAAGGTTGCCTGTCATGAATAATAACAGCTTGAGCCTAATAATTGTAGCAAATTAATTAATGAAAGGTATTCAAATAAATACTGGTTGTGATCTGTGTCTTTACTTGACACAAATCCCTTACCAGCAACTAGGGAATTTGCAACACTAAGAGGATGCTGCATCATGTTTCAAAGCTAATCAGCAGGACGTGTATGTTTTTCAACACAATGTATTTTATTAGAAAACGTGGGATAAAGTGATAGACTGACTCATATGTTTTTCACTAAAGAATAAAATATACCATCATTTTCTTCTGGTGTAACCTGATCAGTTTGGATACTGCCAAGTCAAAGATTTAGGGATAAAAACCCCACACTCTGCTTTGGTCCACAATCAAATATGAGACATCATCTGGAAGTGGGTTTAAGTCCAGGTCAGTGGAATTATAATTTAATTTTACATAACAGAGAGAGCAAATAGCTTGTCAGCAGAAATTCTACCTTAGATGGTCTCCTGTGGTAGGTCTACAGCATGTTACAAAGCACTATGCACTTTATAGTGTTCTGTGCACAGAATGACCATCATCAGCCCTGCAAGATCTGGAAGCAGCACAACTACATCAGTGTGCTCTTCTCCACCCGAGTTACTTCATCCTACCAGATGAGCTTATTAGAAAAAGTGCAGCATGACACTGATATAGTCATATTGTTTCTAAGATACATGTCACTACATTGTACTTCTTAGACACAATCTTTGGATGGCAAATGTACACCCAGCATGATTTCCCTCTCTCCCCCACCTCCCTCCAGTAAATATGTATTTCAAAGTAGAACTTCTAGCCAAGTCCAAATCCTTATATGCCCTTATTGTACGCAAAGAATTAATAAAACAGTGTCTTACCTCTTGTGGAACAGGATGAGTTACTTGCAGGCTGGGTGACTTGCAGGCTGGTAGCACTGTAAAATGGAAAAAAATTTCCCTTCTTATTGCTGCGCAGAAATTCAGAGTGAAGTTTCAGAATGAATATTTACAGATGCCTTGAAAGCATATTTAAAATATGAGCTGAGAAACAGATCACCTTCTGAAATGAGGGTCAGGAGGAGCAGGACTGCAGTGTAACAGAGAATGCAATGCTCTATCCCTTCTTTCTTACCTGAGATGTCCCACACTTACCTTGAAATTTTCTTTAAAGGCGGAGCTGTCTTGGCTCAAGACATCTTATACTCTTGTCTTCACATGGTACAGATAGATACCCTTTCTTTCTTCAGTCATAACAGTTTTGGCAAACTTTGTTCCTGGCAAAGCATTGTTTGGAAAAGTCAACTAAAAGGAAAACTATCAGGTGATGTGAACAGATATAATTAGGAATGACTGATAACTCACTGACTGAATAAATCCCCTATAAATAATATGAGAAGTATCTAAAAGAAGGATCTGTACAAGCCCAGCAGAGACAGTTTGAAAGGGCCTACTAGGCTTGGTGAATTAAACACTGAAAATAATCCAGGTTGCAGGTCTGAGGACAAAGAGGCCTTCCTCTTGATGGATAAAAATCACTGAATCATGGCATCCTGAAAAGATTTAGGTCAGCATGTTCTCTGGAAGTCTCACACAACTCTCAAAGCAGAGCTAGGTCAGGATGCTCAGGATCATGTATAGGTGAATTTTGGAAATCTCCAAGGAGGAAGTTGCCACAATCTCTTTGGACACATTTTCCAGTGCTTAAACAGTCTGAAGTTTATGAAGAAATGTGTAAATGTTTTAAATAAAATATACCATAAAGGAGCAAGTAATTTTTTGTTAAAACTACTTACCAGCTGCAATAGCAAAACACCTAAAGCAGACGAGATGAGATGTGCCACAGTCCAGGCTCCTTCTGTGACAGTGCTGGCGCTGAGGGTCTCTCACTATCTGAGTCCATGACCACGTGGAATTTCTGAGCTAGAGCCTCACATAGAGTACCTCAGGTGAATTCCAGGGTAAGTTGTTAAATACATACATGAGTGTACACATCCATTTGCACATGGGCACGCATGCGCACTCAGCCTTCATATTCCTCATAAAAAGGGAAGATGTTGTATAATGCTGCTCTCTCCTGGCTGATCAGATCTTTCTGAAGGAGTGTGCTTAGACCTGTGCCACGTCAGAAGGCAGAGCAGATGGTCAACGACATTCATGAACTATGACACAGGGTCTACTCCACAGACACAGAGCAAGATGTTCCTTCTGGCAGCTGTAAAAACACCTACACTGAAATATCACACATCCACAATTCTGCTCAGCGAATGAGGAATTCTTATCTGCACCATGTCTGTCTGTCTGTCTGTGTCAACACATACTTGTTCCAAACTTTACCTCAGGACAAAGTCCCAGGCTTGTGGTACCCTGAATGTTTAACACATCTGCAT